TCACAAACAGAAAGAAACTCATTGATAATAATACCACAATGAGGGGACTTCAACACCCCACTTACACAATGGACAGATCATCTAACCAGAAAAATCACCAGAAACAATGGCTTTGAATGACACACTGGACCAGATGGACTTAACAGATATACTCAGAACATTTCATCCTAAAGCAGCAGAATACACATTCCTCTCCAGTGAACATGGAACATTCTCCAGAATAGATCACATACTGGGACACAAATCAGACCTCAGCAAGTACAAAAGATCAAGATCGTGACCATGCATATTTTCAGACCACAACACTATGAAATTCAAAATCAATATAAGAAAAAATGTGAAAGGTAACAAATTGGAGACAAAGAACATCCCTACTAAAGAATGAATGGACAACCAAGGGTTAAAGAGGAAATTAAAAAGTACATGGAAGCCAATGAAAATGATAACGCCACAGCCCAAACCTCTGGGATGCAGCAAAGGTGGAGAGAATATAGCAATCCAGGCCTTCCTAAAGAAGGAAGAAAGGTCACCTTCTTGGTGGATAGACCCCTTGATTATGATATAATGCCCTTTTTCATCTCTTGTTGGAGTCTTTATTTTAAAGTCTAGATTGTTTGGGGCACCTGGGTGGCGCAGTCGGTTAAGCGTCCGACTTCAGCCAGGTCACGATCTCGCGGTCCTTGAGTTCGAGCCCCGCGTCAGGCTCTGGGCTGATGGCTCAGAGCCTGGAGCCTGTTTCCGATTCTGTGTCTCCCTCTCTCTCTGCCCCTCCCCCGTTCATGCTCTGTCTCTCTGTGTCCCAAAAATAAATAAAAACGTTGAAAAAAAAATTAAAAAAAAAATAAAGTCTAGATTGTTTGATACAAGTATGGCTACTCTGGCTTTCTTTTGGTGACCATTAGCAGATATAACAAAGAAAAATGTGGTTTTTTCACTGTGATGAGAACTTTAGGATTTACTCTCTTAACGACTTTCAAATATGCCACACAGCAGTGTTAACTGTAGTCCTCATGTTGTATATTAATCCCGTACTCTCTTTATCTTTAACTGGAAGTTTGTACCTTTTTGACTACCTTCACTCCAGTTTCCCCACCTCCCACCCCCTGTCTTGATAACCATAAATCTCAGCTGTGAGATCATACAGTATTTGTCTTCCTCTCTCTGACTTATTTCACTTAGTGTAATGCCCTGAGGTTCATTCTGCTGTCACAAATGGCAGGATTTCCTTCTTTTCTTATGGCTGAATAATATTTTATTGTATTAACAATTGCTTATATAAAGCATGTTGTGAAGCTACTTTTAATTTTTCAGGTCTTAGGCTGAAGTTATAATACTGCCCTCCTCCTACTTTTCCTTTAGGACTCATTTACTAGTTTTGTTATTTTAAAACACACATTTCAGTGTGTCATCATCCATGTGCACATGAGTGTGTATGTCAATGTGCAGTACATATGTATCAGGGTGGGGAGGGTATCAAGGACTGCTGTCCTAAGGAGTTTAGATCTCAAAGGATCCTTGATTCATAAAATTGAATCTTTTTAGTATGAAAAAGGCTGCTGTTAAGGAAAGCAAACATGCTCTTTCAGAGTTCATGATACTGAGCCAGATGGATTAATCATGTGTAACAATTTTTTCCCTAGTACACAGAGACAAAACACAGCTTAAATGGTTAAGTCATAGGCAAGATGGGAAAAAATTCTTTTGAAGGTTAGATTCTGGATTTTCTTAGACATTTGTTGTTTTGTAATTCCTAAAATTATTCAACCCTCCCCCAAATCCTTCTCATTGTTTGCCCATACTACCTCTTAGAATATTCCTAGTATTGAGTTCCTTTTTTTTGAACTTTCAGTTAGAACTTCTGTCTCTTCCAGCCTTTTTGGAGTAGAGGGTCTTTAGTATCTTCATTCTTCTTAATTTCAACCCCCATCTTAATTGCTCTTATCTGGATCTTTTCCAATCCATTTTACATTTTTGAAGTGTATCAATCAGAACTATGACCATGTTTAGTCACACTATAGCCTTACATGAAGATAGAATGTGATGTGTTTTATTTTTAGTTTTCAATGCCTTTCTTCATTCATAGTTTTTCAGTATTTTGTTGTTGATTTCCTTATCTCCAATTAAAGTGCTCACTAAAGTTTGCAGGAATTCCTAGAGTCCTTCTTCTAGATTAAGAACTGTAGCTTTTTCATTATACAAGCAACATATATATGTTTTAGAGAAAATTTAAACCAAAGAAAGTAAAAAGAAAAAATGTTCAGAGTCGATCAAATAAAACCATTTTGTGTTTTTTGGTATGTTATAAATGAAAATACATTTTGTATCTTTCTTCAAAAGATGCTTAGATAAGCATTTTCCACATTAAACTCTTTATAAAAAATTATTCTCAATAACTACATAGTAGGATTCAGTGAATGAGTATATTCCTAATTCACCTAACCATTAATCCATGCTATGGAAAATATTTCTTGTTATAATGTTTTCTTTGTCATTTTAAAGATCTTGTTCTTATTTTTGCCAGTGTTTTATTTTTTAATATCCCATTCTGGGTATTATGATTAAATAAATATGTACGTTCAAATATTCGGTAAATATCCATCAAACATACATCTCTATGTTTATTGTTTTTTATGGAATCTAATGGCTTAGGAATTTTTTTTTTTTTACAGTAAACTCATGACTCAACGTGGGGCTTGAACTCATGACCCCAAAGTCAATAGTTGCAGGCTCTACCAGCTGAGCTAGCCAGGTGCCCTGGGAATTATTTTCTTAAAAAAATGTTCTACCCAGATTAGTTGGTACAGTATAGTACTTTTAATACCTTTTGGATATTCATGAAAAGTGTTAGTTCTCAGGTACTTCTCCTTGGGAGTTGGAGGGAGACATTTCTTCCATAACTATTTCTCCTTCTTAGCCACTATTTCCTTTTATCCCATTACACATCATGTGTGCTTTATTTTAATTTTATGTTGTCCTCCTGAGTGATGATGAGGACAGTATCAGACTTGAAATTACGTGTATTGTGTGAGCATACTAAATATTAAAATTAAAAATGATGCTGGCAGGGCTTTATCATTTGTTAATTCTTTCAAGAACCAGCTTCTGGTTTCATGGATCTCTTCTACTGTTTTTTTTTTTTTTTTGGTTTGATAGCATTGATTTCTGCTCTAACCTTTATTATTTCCTGTCTTCTGGTTTGGCTTTTATTTGCCATTCTTTTTCCAGCTTTTTAAGGTGTATGGTTAGGTTGTGTATCTGTGACCTTTCTTCCTTCTTTAGGAAGGCCTGGATTGCTATATACTTCCCTCCACCTTTGCTGCATCCCAGAGGTTTTGGGCTGTGGCGTTATCATTTTCATTGGCTTCCATGTACTTTTTAATTTCCTCTTTAACCCTTGGTTGTCCATTCATTCTTTAGTAGGGATGTTCTTTGTCTCCTATTTGTTACCTTTCACATTTTTTCTTATATTGATTTTGAATTTCATAGTGTTGTGGTCTGAAAATATGCATGGTCACGATCTTGATCTTTTGTACTTGCTGAGGTCTGATTTGTGTCCCAGTATGTGATCTATTCTGGAGAATGTTCCATGTTCACTGGAGAGGAATGTGTATTCTGCTGCTTTAGGATGAAATGTTCTGAGTATATCTGTTAAGTCCATCTGGTCCAGTGTGTCATTCAAAGCCATTGTTTCCTGGTGATTTTCTGGTTAGATGATCTGTCCATTGTGTAAGTGGGGTGTTGAAGTCCCCTCATTGTGGTATTATTATCAATGAGTTTCTTTCTGTTTGTGATTAATTGATTTATATATCTGGGTGCTTCCTTCCACATTTGGAGCATAAATGTTTACAATTGTTAGATCTTCTTGGTGGATAGACCCTTGATTATGAATAATGCCCTTTTCATCTCTTGTTGGAGTCTTTATTTTATTAGATTAAGTGCACCTGGGTGTGCAGTTAGGTTAAGCGTGACCCAGCCAGGACACGCATCTGCGGTCCTTGAGTTCGAGTCCGCCAGGCTGGCGATGGCTCAGAGCCTGGAGCCTGCTTCGATTCTGTGTCTCCTCTCTCTGCCCCTCCCGTTCATGCTCTGTCTCTGTGTCCCAAAATAAATAAAAACGTTGAAAAAAAAATTAAAAAAAAAATAAAGTCTAGATTGTTTGATACAAGTATGGCTACTCTGGCTTTCTTTTGGTGACCATTAGCATGATAGATGCTTCTCCATCCCCTTACTTTCAATCTGAAGGTGTCTTTAGGTCTAAAGTGGGCTGTTTCGAAGGGACACATGCACCCCAATGTTTATAGCAGCACTATCAACAATAGCCAAAGTATGGAAAGAGCCCAAATGTCCATCGATGAATGAATAGATAAAGAGGATGTGGTGTATATATACAATGGAGTATTACTGGGCAATCAAAAAGAATGAAATCTTGCCATTTGCAACTATGTGGATGGAATTAGAGCATATTATGCTAAGCGAAATTAGAGAAAGACAAATATCATATGACTTCACTCATATGAGGACTTTAAGGTACAAAACAGATGCACATAAGGGAAGGGAAGCAAAAATAATGTAAAAATAGGGAGGGGGACAAAACATAAGAGAGTCTTGAAAAAAAAAATTAAAAAAAAAAAACATAAGAGAGTCTTAAA